TTGACAAACTCCTAACCGACCGAATCGACCTACCGCAGCTGTTCACTATCCAGCAGTTCCCGTCACTAATCGACCTGTTCCGTAACAATTCGGCCTCTTACCAGCAATGTGCAAATGCCATTCTATCGGCATTTGTTCGTCAACATCCGATGCGATTTTCGAGCAATTTTCAGTTCGCCAATCAGGTGATAATAATAAACAACAAAAGCGAATGCCGATCTAAATGGATTGATTCGATTAAGATGTTGCAATTGTGTAAAGTGATGCACGATTCGTTGTCGACCAGCTCGACAGATCAAGATGTTCGAATGGTGTCGTTACTGATCGAGCGAGCCTTGGACAGATTCGATTTCGATTCGGATCCGGAGAGAGCGATCGACTTTTTTGTGGATTGTCGTGCGGCATTGAGTAATATCGACTCACTGGTGGCGGTTCGTTTTGTTTTGTGTGTTGTTGGATGGATATAAGCATCGAATGCTAATGCACTCTGCTTCAGTGGTGTGTGTCGCGGGTGTGTGCCCTCGGCTATACACTCGTGGAACGTCGTTCCCAGTCGCGGTCCGTCTCCTCGTTCACACGTGCCCTCATCGCGAATGCATTCATCACAATCGCATCCCTCTCCAATCCACTTCACAAACTCCAACTTTACCTACAAACCGCACTACTTACACTGCTCGTGAATTCATTACCCCAGGTCAGTGTCACATCTAACAACAACAAAAACGAATGAAAATAAAACTTCTGAGATGATAAAAAGAGATGCGCCGGCCGGGAATCGAACCCGGGCCGCCCGCGTGGCAGGCGAGCATTCTACCACTGAACCACCGGCGCTTGGAGATTTGGGGTGAAAATAAGCTCTAGTGTAGTGTTCAATTTGTCTAGAATGTAACTGCTATTTTGATTTTGATTCGATTCGATTCGAGTGTAAACTTCAGATGGATGCCATTATGAAGTGTTGTATAGAGGTGCTAGCCTCGTGTCAAGCCGTTCCGGTCCAGGAGTACCGCAGAATGACGTCGTCTTTCCTCGCATTCCTCGTGTTCGTTCCGGATTCACCAAAAAAAGCACCACTCTATATGTTCAACGCATTCATGAACGCTACTGCAAGGTAGTGGATTGATTGATTGTGTGTTACTCATTTCAAGCCAGTCTATCTGATTCACTGTGCAGGTATCCGTGGGGTGATGAGGTGCTAGAGCGCGCTCGCTTGTTCATTGACTGCCTACGGTATCTGTCGAGCGTATGCCAAGCAGAGCTACCGTATCATATTGGAAACAGCCAATCAAACGACACCATTTACGGTAGCAGTGCTGCATTTTTGGATGTGATCGATGAGAAGTGTGATACGGTAATCGGTCAATTGGAAGAATTGTACAATGGCGATACGAGTAAATCAGTTATATTAGCGTTGGAATTGCTGGAATTCATTGTGGATTTTGGTGATATTAAAGTGGTAAGTGAGTAGTTTGATTGTTGAGTATTTTGATTGAGTTAAGGACTGAAGATTCGATGCAATTCAGATGTTTATTCGTCATAAAAAAGAGAGAGAGGGCATGTAGTAATACTAATATGCTTTCAGTTGAATGGATTGATCTGTGAATTGTACAAAAGATGTGCGACTTCGAAAAACGAAGGAACCTTCAAAAGAAGACGATATATCTTCAAACGCCTCCAGAAACTGTCATCCAACGACGCTTCATTTGAAATCGCTTTCAGAAGCATTAATCAGACATAGTCGAATATATCATCCTTTCATATGTATATCTCCTTGATTCTGAGGCAATTGCCTGCGAGGAGAGGGGAGAAGAGGCATTTGTGCAGACACCATTCTCTGATCACTCTTCATTGGTTCAGTTATCATTGGTTGNNNGTTGGCTGATAACAACACTAACCTAACCATAAGGGTTTATTCTTCAGGTGGGCTCAAAACGTGGAATGGTAATTCAGTACTTCAAGATTTTTTGAAGCTGTACCTTATTTTGATAGATGTTTTGGGTATTGAGTGAGTTTATTCGAGTGAAGTTATTTTCGAATAATTTTATACATGAGAATATTGTCATTCGCTTTGCTATTGATGTGATATACGGCCAATTTACTTATTGTTATTATGATGATGATGATGACGGATATTTATTATTATTTGTTGGTGTTCCTTTTGTTCAATTTCGAAAACGTTTTATTTGATGAAAATAAAGTTTAATAGTCCACAATGGTTGTTTGTGCATGATCACACTTTGAAAAGAACATGCACAACCTCGCTCGTTTCATAACTTGATGCTATAAAGCAATTGTAACGAACACAGTTTTAAATAATACCAAAATCAATCGCTATCGATGAAGCATTTTATCAGAATGAAAGACTCAGAAGATAACTGCCTTCGACCCATCGATTAGCCACCAAACCAAATTGATTTCTAGGGCCACCATAATCCTGAAAAAGAAAACTCTTTTAATGCCCTCTGATTCTGAGTTTGAAGTTTGCTTTTTACACGGTGCATAATCAATTTCTTTGACTCTGCAAAATAGTTATCACTTCAATCAATTGAGGGGATCATTTTGAAAAAATCTTGCCAAATTTTCATCTCATAACAAAATGAAAGCATCCAAAATAAGCGATGATAAAAGAAGGTTATTACCGTGCACATCAGCCGTACAAAACGTCCCATACACAAAACAGTACCACCCTGAACTTGGGGAATCTGCATGGCAACGGTTCAGTGCATCCATACACCCTCCCCCAACGAAAGCTGAGAATTAATTCGAATTGTGAGCATTCAGAGTGAATATGAACAATGAAGTGAGTGCTATTCTTT